TCCGGTAACTTGGTGTACAACGCCACCCTTCGCGGTGACCCGAAACGCAATACCCAGGCAATCGGCTGTCCGCACGGCGGATGGGTAACATTTAACGATATCCTCATTAGTGGCTATCAAAGTAGGTTGCCCCCAATACACCACTGCGCTGTGTGTCCGGGTTTCAAAGGCGGCATGGAAGTTCGTTTCATGAATATGAAATTCGTCGACAGTGATACAAGGCGGCTCCGCGGTGGTTCAACATCTCGACCGCGCGTATTCTGGAACGGGTACAACTCCAACCTTTTGCTCGACGTGGATGGGACCCTGAGTGGATCGCCAGGTCCACGATGGGCGCATTCAGTCAAGGGCGCCAGTGATGATCCCAGGAACCGGCCGACGGGTCATTTTCCGCCAGAACACTGCACCCTCAATGATCACATCGGAGGTGTTGTTTGCGACGCCAACACTGTGTCGTTGCGAGAGGTGCAGTGGCGCCGTATCAAGCCCATGACCCTTATACCCATGGCGATGCAGACAGCACCTGATCAAAATGCAGGGCAAGTGAACTTTTATCATTACGACCATATCGAGCGACGTTTCAATTGGCGTACGACATTGGTTATGGTTAAAAGTCCGAACGCGAAGCCATACATCCATAACTTTACGTTTAAGTTTAAAACATGGCAAATTGATGACCCGGACGCTTGGTACATGGAGGTCCGTGAGCTTCAGCCCAATGAATGGGCTATAATGCGATTCCCCACACTCCGCAATCCGTGGCGTTGGAACTTGAATTCAAGAATACCGACGGTCACATTGAATAACTACAATCAAAGTGATTATAGTTTCAATGAGAGCAAGGCCATCACCACCACGAGCAACGAATGGCTGAGTTGGAAAAATCACAAGTTCGGCGACCACACATACCTACCCGTTGTGGAGACAAGGGATGTTAATGTAAAGCCAGATCCAGGGCTGCTCGATATCATGATATCTGGCAAGCGCGAACAAGGATGGACACAATCGTACGCCCTCGGTGCCAACTATGATGGCGCGCGTGAAGATATGCCCGTCTGCACCACTTCATGCGGAAGCTCGGCAAAGTCAACATGTGGCATGAAACGCTACAACTGCAGACCGGGCGACAAGAAACGATGTTTGCCGATGGAAAAGCCTGCAAACTGCTTCGACAATCGACCTATACCCGAGGTAGATCCCGAGCCTAAAACTTTTTCCTGGTGCGACTCAAACGAAGTTTGGTCTCCGCCGGCATTCGGGGATGACGTCATGATCAAGGCTGGTTGGACGGTCATCTTAGATGAAACCTGTCTGGTGACCAACATAACTAGACACGTGGATTTATATGGGTCCCTGTTGCTTCGTGATCCAGGCGCTGGTAAAACCATCAAGTTCCGAGCGCAGACCATCCACGTCGCGGCTGGGATTGGATACCTCGAAGCTGGTGACCAGGATGATCCGATATCGAATGGCGACGTTCGTATCGAGCTTTATGGGAACAGATTTTCTAACGCTCGAATGGGCTACGGTATGGAGACAAAGTACATCGCCGTTCTCGGACACCTCAGCCTCGTCGGAAAGGCGAGCGTGGAGCAAACGTGGTCGACGCTTAGAAGCGATGCGCCCGCGGGAAGCAGTACAATTGAAACGACAGCCTGTGGCGGTTGGAATACTGGCGACACGCTCATGATTGGTGGCGCTATGCACAATTGGACCGGGATCAAGCATGCTTGGTTTTTGAGCGCGGAGCGCTGTGATATTTCCTCCATAGCAGTTGCGAGCGAAGGTTGCGTCATACGGTGTACTTCCAGCTTCAACTACACGCACTCAGGCCCGGCCCAAAAGCACGAGGTCAGTTTTGGTGGAATGCCAGTGACTCTCATGCATAGGCGCTCTCCAGGTGGGCGCGTGCAGGTAGTTGGCATGGAAGACAAAAACAAGGCACTGGCAGAGCAGCACTATGGTGCTGTTATTACTATCCTGAAACCGAAAAAGAAAGGCTATGACGCAAAATTGGCTAAGAGATTCAAGATAGAACTCAAGACGCCCGAGCGCATGCAAGCGGCAACTGAAAGCATGAAACATGATCCCCCGCCTGAATGCCACCGCAGACAAGGTTCGGCTGTGATCGTCAATGTCAACTTTGCGCATTGCGGTCAGCGGCACTCTAGTCGCGCGTGTGTTTCTTTTGCCGCCGGTATTGGCGCTGAGTATCGAGCTACGTTCGCAGAAACGACATCGATGGCACTCGTTGCGAACAACACATTTGCGGACGCCTACAATTTTGCCGTGAGCGCAGCAGGAGATGGAATTATTATAGAGAATAACGCCATCGCACAAACCTATCACGGTGGATTCGAGGTCTCTGGTGCGAACAACACAATGTCTAATAACGCAGCTGTTCGATTATTCGACGATGTTAGTGATTACTTTCACGACATTGGGTCGGTTGGTTTCAAGTTGTCGGGATCAGGGAAATGGTATACTAACGTCGTCGCCTCCGTGCAGTACACTGGGTTTAAAATTCCTGGATATCCGTGCGAAATGATGACTCCAGACGTGGAGGATGAGGGTTTAGACGTTCGCGCTGTGACCACCGTTCCCGCCGAACCTACAATGCGTGACCTTCGCGCGTATGGTGGCATGGTAGGCGTGAATCTGCGGGGCGGGCGTACTCGGATGGTCACACGTGAACCGGTGGAGGCCTACGCGCCGCTCGAGTGTCGCCAATGGAGCGACTTCGAGATTCGTTCAATGGTTTGGTACGGCGTAACCACGTTTGGTCAGGGAAAAACGTCTATTGTGTTGAAAAACTTTAATATTTGGGACACCGGACTTGGTTTCGCGCTGTGGATGGTCAACGGTGGCTCAGCCGCAGGTTCGAGCAGCGAGCGAGGGCATTTCGCAGAAATCAGTGACACGACGATAATCGGTTCTGCAAGTCGATGTAGAAACGACGGCATTGGGTTTCCCGCGTTTTACTTAACGGCAGAACCGTACCGGCCGGATCAAGGAGTGAAAACGCCATCGCGCTTTGGTGGAACGACGCTAAGAAACATAAGGTTTCGCGATTTCGGCGCATGTGAAAAGAAAGGCGTTCGTCAAGTTCGTCAAAAGAATTACGCATTGGTGAACGCCATGAACCGTGGGCGATACGCGTGGGTTTACTACGACAACGCGAACCCCGTGCGATCTTCTGGCTTGAGCTTTAAGGGTGTACCATTCGAAAACAGGTTACTCATGATCCATCCAAGCTGGGGTCGAATAGGCAATGGGAAATGGGGCTGTGCCCAAATGTACTGCGACGGACATCGCAACACGTTTGTGATGGATGAGGACGGTTCGCTGCTCGGTGATAACGCCGCATTCGGGACCATCTTGCCCGAAAACGAGATTGGTTGGTTCAAGAAACTGGCCTATATCGATCCGCTCAGCCGTGACATTCTTGAAGATTTGGTTCCATTCACACACCAGTGGCTGCCCAACGGTACCAAACTGACGCCCATGCGAGGGAAGCTCTACGACGAGCCAGGCCATCTCAAAATGGGCTGTCGAAAGGAGGCTTCATGGCAGGCGTGGCTCTGTCCCGAACACAGGCACAGGCAAATAATCCACGAAAGTTTGGACGGCGATCACACGAAGAGGCGCATCTCCCCAACTTCTGTTCTCACAGAGCTACCATCTCAGAGCAAGCGTTTCATGTCTCTGTACACTGGGCCTGCGAAATACGGAGGAAACTGGGCAGGTAAAATAACCAGACATAACACACTCTGGATTACCGGCCATGTCGGCGCGACGCACACGATCCACCACTCGAGCACGAATCCATCCATTTCGCGCGTAACATTTGCCGATGCCACGGAGGATGAGGCCGTGCATGTCAAGCTTTATTACGGCGTACCAAATCGTGTCGACGTTTACGTCGATGGAAGGTACGTCCCACCGCTTGCGAACATCACTTGGGATCAGCCGGACGTTCCTGATATCAGTAGCTCGGGCAGTCTTGAGACTATGCCACACGGCGCGAACTTTTACAATCGTCTGAACGGTTATCTCGAATTCGTGCTGAGAGGCCCTAAAGAAGTGCAAATTCGCGTCTCGAACATCGTCGTACTCAGCGCTACCGTCACAGTCACCGAGGACACATTCTTCGTGCCGGGAATAAAAGCACTGGTGAACAACATTCGTCTCTTGCTTAACATTCCGGAGGAACGAATCGCAGTCGCGGGAGTTGGCGATTTCAAGCTAGCGAAACAAATCGCAAAAACTGAAGCATCCTCCCTTGGGTCATCTGGAGACAGTACTGAGCACGTCATCGAATTGCTCATAGAGGAGGCAACTACAACACAGCTCAGTTCGAGCGAGGAAGACGTCGAAGACGTAGATCCGGTCGCAGAGGCAAACGCGTACTCGAACTCTAGTTCTGAGCTTACTTCGCTGGCTCGGCGTGTGCAGCAAAACGCTAAAAATTTGACGTTGGGAACTGCTCTGGGGTTGGCAAATTCAACATTACCAGTTGAAAAGTCACCTATTGACATGGTGGCGGGCTGGACGTGTGAAACCAGAATGTATAACGATGGCACTTGCGATTGTGATTGTGGCGCGTGGGATCCTGATTGTGACGGTGGGCAGACTATCTTGCGAGGCTGCCCATCGCACGCGGAGATCAACAGCACCGGTACCCCATTTGAATTCGCAAATAGTGTACGGGCATACTGCGTTAACAATTCAGACGTCGTGACGTGTAGTTTAGCAGTGCCTCCTGATGACCTCTGCAACGAGTGGCCATGCCTGGATAGTGATCCGTCTGATGTTCTCGTCTCTTACTTACAACGGGCCTCTAGTAATGAGTTAAAATGCGTCAAGCGGCAGAGTTCGCCACATGCAATGCATACGGGAGAGTGTGCTTTAAGCATGTTGGACGAGCGTGGCGACACCCTTGAACCGATTCTGAGCTGGAACTCCACAGATTTGCCTGCTTCACCACAACCACAAACGTCATCTTCGGTACCGTCTTCACCGCGTCCGGATGTCCCCGCACCAGTACCGTCTTCATCGCGTCCGGATGTACCCGCACCAGTACCGTCTTCGCTGCGTCCAGATGTACCCGCACCGGTACCGTCTTCGCCGCGTCCGGATGTACCCGCACCGGTACCGTCTTCGCCGCGTCCGGATGTACCCGCACCGGTACCGTCTTCGCCGCGTCCGGATGCTCCGCATCGAGGCCCCTCACGAGAGTCAGCACAAGCGCGACGAGACCGCCGTCGTGACGACCGCGCGCGTCAAAGACGAAGCATTAGAAGGCTTCAAAGACAAATCGCTAGAAGATTTTCTGTCTCACAGGAAGACTTGAGAAATGCGACAACATTGAGCTCGATTGTTGAGCTTGCGCAGGCTGAGGTGCAAGAAGCCCAACGCTCCGTACCAACACTACAGACGAAATATGAGTCGGCGAAGGCTCTGTACAAAGGGAACAGAACTACTACAAATAAAGCGGCGCGCCGCCAGGCAAAGATAAATTTGCGCGTTGGAAGAAAACAACTGAGGCGCGCGAACAAGAAGCTTGAATTACTTGAAGAACTCAGCAGGGCACTCACCACACCGGAACAAGGCGGCGCTTTTGCCCTTGGTATCGGTAACCCACGCGGACGAGAAAATTCGATGCTCGTCGTCGCTGTCGCGATGGGCGCGTGCGCCATGGCCTCCCTCGCCGTGCGATCTCACCGCAGAGCGAACAAACGACTTTACGTGGATGAATCCACGGCACTCTTGAGGAATCGTAGGCGTTTTTGAACAGTACAATTTTGTCATACCTACAGTCGCAAGCAAAAACGCCACATTCAAATTTGGGCGTCCCGCTTAAGATTTCGGTACCCTCGCTTAAGATTTCTTCAGAATGGAATCTCTGAACGCAAGGCGTGAAATCACTTAGCCATCCTGCCCGAGTCTGACGAAAGTAGCAAAGTAGCACTTTTTGCACGCCTCCCAAAGGTGGCCCCTGGGGAAATTATTTATTTTGTGGAGTGGTGAAAAATAAAAATTCCCACTGGATACCTTCTGGGACACTGCTTTTTTGCTACTTTTGCTACTTTTTCGACGAGATCGGGGTACTGCAAAGCACACGGCGAAGACGGGTGGCCGATGATCCGTGTGCGCGTGTCGCCTTTGATGGGTCGCTCCCGTTCATGACTCAAGAGTTGTCGCGCGACCTCGCGCGTGCACGAGGGTGCCACGTTTTAGGTACCAGAGGTGCCCATTTCTTCGTGGTAAGATGGTCCCTCGTGTATCACGCCGCTCCCCTTTAAGCATGAAAAGTTGTGTCCAATATATTGCGCGCGATGTCCGATGGTACATCATACAATATCATAGTTAAGCCACACTTATCATACGACGGTGGCGGTCCACCTGTCGGTCGTCACAGAAAAGTTGCGTCTGAGACTGAGGATGTGTGTTGCTCATGTGTCTTATATATACCTCATACATACATATATTAACATTTACAACGATATGTATGGGGTGCCCAGCCCATCCGCGCGGCGTGGCTTCTGCCGGTTTTTGCCATTCGAACCATGAGAAACTACAACTCTATAATAACTTAAACTTAAAATTTTTTTAAGTTTAAGTACCTACACGTTAGTAATTTTGAAAATTTTTGTGACCCGTGACTCCCAAGCAAAAAGTCGCGCGTTGCTCCAGTGGCTGGGCACCCAAACATGGACCCAGACTCATGAATCATGAACCGTGAATAGCCGAGTCCCAGGATTGACGAATCATGACTCGTATCAATCCGCCGCTCCCGAATGCGTGTGCCCCGTGTGACGAAATCGTCTCCGGGATCCGGAGGAAAAAACCTCCAGGAGGAAAACCTAAAGCGCGCGATCGACGTCTCCGAACGTCAAAGCCCGCCGCCTCCCTCCGCGCGCGATCGACGTCTCCGAACGTCAAAGCCCGCCGCCTCCCTCTGCGCGTGCTCGCGCGCCCGAGGAACGGTCAGCGTTTCCGCTCCGGCGTCCAGTAGGAGTTCCCGTGAAACGGACCAAAAGGAGGCTTTGTTGCGTGTTTGCCAGTTTTCGAGGACGTTGGAGTGAGAGGGCGCTTGCCGAGATGCCCTCCATCTTGATCTCGCGCGAAAACTGTTTCATGTTCCGCCGGGCCATCGTCGCCGATCGCGTCGCCGTGCATACTGTCCACGGGCTTAAAAAGGTCGCGGAGGTCAACGTTATCACTCATGGTCATTTTTTGACGTTTTGTTTCTGTCGCGCCCGACATCTTGCGTCGGAGTGGGTCAATGGCGACGGCGGCGGCGGCCCACCTGTCGGTGTTTACGGAAAAGTTGCGGCTCGAAATGAGGATGGCGTGGCCCATGTTTCTTATAGATACCTCATGAATACATATATTACAAGTTATAATGCTATTAATATATAATTGATTGGATGGGTGCCCAGCCCATCCGCGCGGGCTGTATCTAGCTAGCTATGTATGTGCGACGGATTAAAAACAGCACCAAATATTTTTTAAACAGCACCAACATTTTTTATAGTCGGTTTCATCGGTTTCCTCGATGGTCGAGCCTAGTTCCAGTTCACCGAGGAGCTGCTCGTCTTCTTCATGCAACCACGGTTCGTCCGCGCGTCCAGGCACAACGTTCGGACACTGGTTCACAAAATGGCCCAACTGACCACACCTGAAGCATCGATCACCCGCACCTCGCATCATGAGTTCGATAATCTCGAGGTGCGATCTCGGGAGAACGATCTGACTGAACGTCCCACCGCGTACGTTCTCAACGCCGTGTTCGGCCATGAGTCGTAACACGTGCTTGTCCTCGTCAAATGGTCCACATTCCTCGATGAACAGTCGACGGTACGGTTTGTATTTTTTCGTCCACGCGGCACCCATGCCGCGAAAATGGTCGTCGATCCTCGACCTGTTGTCGCACCGCCCCACGTAGTATTTGCCCTGCGCACACGCGAGGCCGTATATCAGTGACATGATCCATGTGGTCTAGTGCCCCCGGGCCGTCGTCGCGCGCGCCGCGGTGTGCGGGGGCACGCAGACCAGCGGCGGCGGTCGAGTCGCAGATGCGTCCATCACTGACGTCGAACGAGAATCGGGATCACCCGTGGGTCCGTTGGCGCCCCGCGGGTGTGTGTGTCAGCCCTCAGGATAACCAGCCGCGCGAGGATCAAATCAAACATGGACCCGAACTCGCGGGTGTCGACACGGTCGGTCGGACATATGGAGCCTCACAATTTGGCCGTATGACCACATATATTAATTTATGTATGGCTATCATCCCGTGCTATCCCGGGGGTAAATTACAGTACAGTAATCTATACCCGGGATAGCGCGGGCTGAATAGAATAAATCCAGTAATATACGTTGTTTTTTGGTGTTGCACATTTTTTTAGTGTTACACCGCGCGTGCAAGCGACACTTCGTCCCGCGGTGGCGGAAGTTCTGTCATCTATAGAAAGCGATCTTCACCATTGATCAGTTCGATTAGCTCTGTTCTTTGAGCGTACTCATTATTCTTGGATCACTTAAATAATCTTAAGCGGTGACAGAAAAAACAAAATTTTGGTGATTTTGGTGATAATCCGACCGACCGAACAACACGCGCGCTCGAACGAACGTCGAGTGTTACGCCATCATTCGTCCGCGCTCTTGCACGTGAACTCGAGGCACCGACGAAAGAAAAATCACCACATAATCGCCCGATGCCTCTCTCGACGCGCGCCATGCGCGAGGCCGAACTCGACGTCGATTCCTTCCGGACGGACCTCTTCGCGAATCGCGACCGCGCGCGTCAACGGCGGGAGCGCCGTTCGAGGCTCGGACTCATGTTCACGTGTGCGTTAGCGATCGTGGCGCTGATGATATTCGTTGACAATGCGTGCGCAGAGGCCATAATGAATGACGTCGGTGAAGCGGTAATGCCGAAGATGCGTTTCCAGCGCCAACCCCATAACACCATCGCTAATCTCGGCGGATGGAAGAAGTGGACGAAAAAAGCTTCAAAAGCCGCGAAGAAAGCAGCCGATCAGGCAGCCGCGGCGCGGGCAGCCGCGGAGGCAGCCGCACGGGCAGCCGCAGAAAGGGCAGCCGCGGAGGCAGCCGCACGGGCAGCCGCGGCAAAGAAAGCCGCGGAGGAAGCCGCGAGGAGAGCCGCGGAGGAAGCCGCGGCGAGGGCAGCCGCGGCAGAAGCGGCCGCGAAGGCAGCCGCGGAGGAAGCCGCGGCGAAGGCAGCCGCAGAGGCAGCCGCAGCAAAGAAAGCCGCGGAGGAAGCCGCGGCGAAAGCAGCCGCAGAGGCAGCCGCGGCTAAGGCAGCCGTGGCGCAAGCCGCAACCGACGCGTACGACGCGGGTAAGACACTCGCTGGAAACACGTATTCCCAGACACTCTCCAATGTGAGAAACAAGTTTGGCGATGCCAAAGTGAACGCGTACTTCGGTAACCAGAGAGATATGCTGCAAAATAAGTACGACTCGGCTAAGGGCTTCACCGATGCCGCTGTGAATGACATGAAGTCCGAAGTGAAAGAGCTCAGGAAGGATCTCGTCGGCGTCGCAGAAATGGTCGTCGCTTTCTTTAACGGCTTGAATTGCAACATCGGCCCATCAACGATGACCAGTTTTACCACGTCTTTGAAAAATGCTTTCAAGTCCAGCGGTACTGCTGATTTGGTAAACAAAATTAAAAACGAGCCGTCGCGATTCTACAGAGACATGGATGCGGCGACATGCGATTTGATCTGGAATACGGTGTTCACTTCATCTTCTGCTGCCATCACGACCTTCGGGACTGCCATTAAGACGCTTAAGAGCGATTGCCCCGCGCTCGGTGGTGCCAACCCTGCGTTTACGCTCGGTTTCACACTCGACGTCGACGTAACCTTTGCGTCAAGGACGGGCGGCATTGGCACAGAGATTGGCGTCGGATTTGATATGACGGGCCAAAAGTTCTGCTACGTCGGCGGGTGTGTCACTGCTGGCCGGACTTTTGGTTCCAACTCAGCTGCCAACGCGGATCTCACTCCAGGCCTCGCTTTGTCCGGCTACAAAGAACTCACTTCTGTCCCGGGTGAATGTTCTTTGCTCGACGTCGGCATTGATATCAATCTTCCGACTCCCATTAAAGTCGAGGGCGGCGGCGGCCTCACATATCTGTATGGCGGAGGTATGGGAGATTTTGTTGGCCTTTCATACCCAATGGAGCTCGGCGCTGGTGATCCGGTGCCTGGTGCTGATGTTTCCATCAAACGTGGCATGTGCTGCACGCCCATCTGTTTGAAGACGGACGGTACCTCGTGCGCGCCGACGAACTGGAAAAACCCGTGCCCGACGATGGCAGATCCGAATGCGTACCTAAATCTCATCACGACGTCGTCGAGCGCTGCTCTTGGTGGAGAGCGAACGCTCGATATGAGCCACGAGGACCATACTAAGTACTACCGACGCATCGGTGATCCGAAATCGCACACATACGATGCAATCTCTGAGCGTCTGTCGCAGTCGACCATCGTTGCTTCAGTGTTGACGATCTCCGTGCTGGCGCTCGCCATCGTCGCACATCGTCGCCGCGTCGCTCGCAAGATTACCGCGGACGAATCCACGCCTCTTCTCGAAGAAGCGTGCTTAAAACATGAGTGAAGACGATTGAAGCTTCTTCACTTATTCGCGGGCTTCGTCCCGGCGCCGCAATTTTCGCCCTTTATTTCACTTCAACTCAACTAAAACTAAAAGCCTTTAAATACTCCTTAACTACTCAAGTACTTTTTGTAAATCTTGCAATCAAAACTTTCGTCATAAGCTGTCGCGCGTAGCTTTATCGGGAGCGACCTGCGATTCCCTCCGCCACGAGCGCCGCGACGATGGTAGCCGACGATCGACAGCGAAATCGCGCGCTCGGACGGCGTCGTGCGACGGCAATACGCTTAGCCTTTAGTGCGCTCATGTTCACGTGCGCGGCGAACTCGCTGGTGTGGCTTCAGGGATTGACGTCGAGCGCGGGTGCTACCGAACGCGAAGTGTCATCACGCGCGCGACGTCGAGATGCGGAGACGTGTAAAGTCGATGCGCCGACGAGGCTGGCTGAACGTACGGCGCGTGATAGACTTTTCGGGTACAGACGACGAGACGTAGGCGCGCTCGCGGCGTTGCGAGGCGATGGTGTGACGCTCTCAACGTCGACGACGCGCTGGCGCGATCTCCAATATGGAGACGCACTGGATCGGTACGGGTTCTTTGTTACGTCTGAACCGGTTTTAAGCGAGAAAGAGGCGGACAAGACGCGGGCGCACCTGCTCAGTCTGTTGCGAAGTACGGATGTGTACGAGCAAAACGATGGGTGTCTCGGCGAACTTGCGGACTGTCAGGAGAGATTTGATTTGTCTCTTCGACTCACAACGACTGTGACACGCGCGGTGAATAAGATTGTGTCCACACTTAAGCCCGCACTGGTGGATATATTCGGCGATGAAGACTGTGAACTCGTAGAACTGAGTGCGTTGATCACATGTAAAGGCTCACCCACGCAAGGCATCCACAGTGATGCGGAAGGGGTGAAAGGAGACGATCGACTTGTCAGCGTGTTCGTATCATTACAAGACACCCCCACGAATCTTGGTCCAACGCACGTTTTCTTTAACTCACCGAATGCTGTAACAGAGTTTGACTACTATTCCGCACTCATGCTGATGAGGATTGTGGCGGCCGAGCTCAAGAACTCGACGGTTGCGTTAAGAGATCATGGTCTTGGTGATATTTATATCAAGCAAGGCGTCGCAGCCATCCCAGAAAACGAGGTTGCGACAGAAGAAGAACTAAAATTCTTCAATGCGCACTGTAGAGTCGATGAGAGGGATAATACACTGGCATTCTATCCCCCTTGGGAGTCCTCCCCAAACGCCCGTCTCGTGTTTGGCGTCGTCGCTGCTACGCGACAGGGAGCCGCTCTCGTGTATGACTCGCGGACTCAACACAGAGGTGGAGCTAACACAGTAGGAGCGCGAGTACAACTTATGTTTAGTTTTCAGACGAAGCGTGCTTTTGTGGCTGGGTCGACATTCACAATGCGACGTAGGTATCATCGCATTGAACGCATGCCACTGACCCTCATGGAGAGAGCGACTCTGACATCATTTGGGCATGAATACGAGAAAAGCAAGTCGAACCTTGCGTGGTACCTGCGAGTATTCGGAAAGATACGCCTTCGAGACTTCCCATTACGAGCTGACACCACTGATCAGGAACGTGAATGGGTGAATGCTGACTTAGTGCAAAACTCTGAAAACAAGTCGGACTTTGATGTCGATAGGATGGGGTTACAAGGTGGAGTGTTGTGATGTAGATGTTGGTATAATTGCAGTTACCTCGACTACCGCTACATCATGCTCATGTTTGTTTTAAGTTCCTCTTCGAATCGAACGGTGCTCGGGTAATGCTCGGCGACCGGCGGCTCCTCAGAAATTTCTCCAGGTTCGTCAGAAGGCTCTTCAGATTGAACTGGATTCTTAACTATGATATTGTATGGTGTACCATCGGACATCGCGCGCAATATATTGGACATAACTTTTCATACTTAAAGGGGAGCCGCGTGATACACGAGGGACCATCTCACCACGAAGAAATGGGCACCTCTGGTACCGAAAAACGTGGCACCCTCGTTCACGCGCGACCACTCTTGAGCCATGAACGGGAGCGACCCATCAAAGGAGACACGCGCACACCGATTCTCGACCACCCGTCTTCGCCGTGTGCTTTGCAGTACCCCGATCTCGTCGAAAAAGTAGCAAAATGTTGACCAGTGGGGCGTGCTGGCGTGCTTTTCCAGGCTGTTGAAAAACTTGAAAATCAGTCATCGCGCCGATGTGACCAGGAAAAACACGGCTTAAAGAATTCTTTTCTTATGTGATATATATGGACGCCAGAGAATTTACGAACGGCATGCATCTGATCCCACTCGACCAGGACAAGGAACCAACATGCGGCAGGGGGTTCCTCGATGAAGCAAACTATGAACAGAACACGCAGAAAGTCATCCCAGGAGAAATGTACGGCGTGCTGACAGGGCGACCGAACCGTGTCCTCGTCGTCGACTGGGATTGTTACGGTGGCAAGTGCGAGTTTGAACTCACGGAAGAAATGTTGACGCGCAAGGTTGGCGGGGAAGGCGCGTACATCGTCAAAACGCGATCAGGCGGGTACCACACGTACTTCGCATGGGACGAAGAACGAGTCGGCGATTGGAAAGGCACAGTAGGCATCGAAGGGTTCGTCGATATCCGTACGACGGGTAACTACGTGGTCGGTGCCCATGCCCCGGGCTACGAGCTACTCCGAGGAGACATCAACAATTTACCACCAATGCCCAACGATTTGTACAGTTTCTTTGATGGCAAAGTCGGTCACAAGGTCGAACGCGCCGACACGGAGTGCAGCTTTACGCAAGCATCTGTGACACCTTTGCTCGAGGACATGGGGTTCACCGGCATACATTGGCTCAGTGGAGCGACATCGTATGATTTTGAATGCGACCAATGTCGCCCACAGCGAGGCACCTCTGTGGGCCAATGTCCTTGCTGTGGGGGCTTCCACGAAGGCAATGGAAAGGGCGGCGGGAACCACTTTTACGTCGCCGAGGTCGGCCTCGGCGTGCTCACCGTGAAAAACCATGGCAACTGCAAGCCCAGGCAGTTTCGCTTTGAGGTTGGGTGTCTGGTGACCGGTATCACCGAAAAGGAGCAGAACGAAATCAAAGAGGGCACGTCTGCGGGCTACATCGAGGTCCGCCGTGAGTTCGAGAAGCACGTCGCAAAGATCTTGACCAAGGACCTCTTCTGCGACGATAGCTGTTATGGAACCACCGGGGAGATCGCCAAATTCAGCGAGGCCGCTTTGGTGAGGCGCTATCGAGAACTCTCCTTTGTCGATGAGAACGGCGCGTCCGATGAGCGTCTTGCTCACGGTGCAACCGTCCTGTTGGACCTTGAACTGAATTTTGGCGAAAGAGAGAAAGTCCTCGGGATCATTTGTCTTTTCAAAGAGCGCATTCAGACGGTCGCAGAGGTCGTCGTTCTCCGCCCATTCGGCGATGCTCTTCCTCACTGCATCGGGCGCGACGGGCTTCGTCGCCTCGTACGCCTTGAGGAGCAGCGAACGCGAAACGAACCGGTGATATATATATATTAAGTAAAATTTGGCTATTGAGTCTTCATATGGGAAGCGTACCGATTACAAATTTCTACTTCTGGCCCATCACTTACTCAGCTGACTGGCACGAGGTGTACAGGTTCGCTGGGTCGTCCACCTTGACGAACTCGTACTTCGCGTGAGGGCTTATGGTACCGGGGAAAGAGCACTCTTGCTTGCCACCCTTATCTTGACAGTACTTGTTCCGCTGCTGACTATAGATGGAGGTCTTGCCGTCTGCCAGCGTGGCGAGAGTAAACTTGGCGCCGACGAAAATTTCTTCGCCCTCAGCCTCCTTCGGCACGTCACACATAATTAGAGTCTTCCTCCATCCCGGGGGACCACGACTGAGGGTGTCATCAGCGTCCGTCGCGCAACGGAACTCGGCACCCGTCTCGTCCAAGCGAGTGAGGGTGTAAAAATTGCCCTCGTTCTTCAGGTACACGAGCTTTGGAGCGTTGTTCGCCGCCGAGGGATCCTCAGACGCAACGCATCGCTGCGAACAGGCGAAGCCCCACTGTCCATTTCCAGCGGTTCCGATGTTATAGTTGCAGAAGTTTTGATTCATCATGTTAGTCCCATACTTCGATGGGACCCAACCCCCTCGCATCAAGTACGCTCCGTCCTCGAGCGTCGCGCCTTGGCCGAGCGTCGGAAAGTGTGTTGAACCGACTCCCACGAGCGCGACGACACCGAGACAAGCGATCACGAGCGTTTTACCTCGGCGCACGTCGCTCGCCGCCTTGGCCGCGCGCACTTCATCGCGCAGAGGCGTCGATTCGTCCATCGAATTAGTGTTGAGCGAACCCCTTCCGGCTGCTGTTTCGATCCCGTCGACCACGATTAACGACGCGCGTGTTTCACTCGTGCGTCCGACGCGCTTTTTCCCGACGCGGTTCCCGACTGCACTGACGTGCGTCGTCAAGTGCCTCGTCGTCGAGGGTGCTCGAGTTTTACTTTTACTGTTGACGCGCCACGTCGGATTCCGACAGGCCCAGGCGCGGCCGCAATGCTACTTTAAACTTAGTATATTTTTTTTGAAAAAAGAGTAGTAAGAGTAATAAAAACAAACTTTTTGCTACTTTAAACTTAGTATATTTTTTTTGAAAAAAGAGTAGTAAGAGTAATAAAAACAAACTTTTTTTTGAGTTGCGGCACCCCAACATGATAAAACCGCACATCGACGTCGATGTACCACATGTAAGATTTCTCCAGAACCAATCGTGTGAGTGAAGTGGTCAAACCAAGCCACGCAACTCGTCTACCGTAAATTGATACTTGTCGAGACTGCGCTTCGAAGGCAGCGTGCCGCGCGCTCGAGCATTCTTGAGGCACGTCTTACGCAGTATTCTTTTCGCGTGCTGCTTGTAATAATTGAGTTGTCTGTAGTTACCATCGCCGCCGTCCCGCTTCGGCGTATATTTAGCTCTGCCAAGGGTTCGACTCTCGTCCACGTTCTCGTGGCACGTGTGTTTCTGGCTGAGTCCAGCAGCTCGGGAGTTGAATAAGCCGTCACGCTTCTCTCTCATGTAGGCACTTTTACGTTGATGGAGCTCTCCAGCTGGAATGTCCTTTTCGAGAACTCTCACGTTCGCGTCGCCAAACTTGAAGATTGGATGCCGTGCGTATTTATGCGAGGCAAGGCGCGCTCTGAGCGAACCTGTCGTCGATCCGATGTACGTTTTGTTACATTTTGCATTATCGCTAAACATTTCGTACACGCATCCCGACGGCATTTGTCCTGGTCACCTATCTATCCCTAAGAAAATATAGTTGCCAAAAGTGCTCCTCTTGCGGTTTGCAGTCACATTCGAGAGATCATAGGTGCTCGTGTTGCTGCGTGGGGTGCAAGGTCTGGGATGTAGATATCGAACCGCCTGATTTCACACCTGGACGTTCGTGATCCGACGAGACCTGACGAAATGACGAACTTGTTTTGTCGTCCCCAAATTCGTCAGCCCGTCGTTCGGTCACACTTTGTGTGTACCAATGATGAAAATGACGAAATGTTAAAATATTTCAATGTTTATTTTTATTTTAGATCTATGAAAAGCAACAGTGTAGACCTTTATGAAAACAGTTCGTCATTCGTCATTTCGTCAGGATCCAAACCATGGTCTTTTTGGTGTCTTGTTGAGTCTTCATATTGCAAATGTACGAATCACAAAATTAGTATGAACACCAGACGACCGCCGGCGCGAGCTCCGTCTCCCCCGTTTACCCATTGTCCTTCAGCCACTCGAAGCACCCGTCGCGGTCAATTTCCCAATAGACGCCATTCTCGTCCCTAGCTTGCCTCAGGTGGTCCTCTTAATACACCAAAAAGTAAATGCAATTATGGTGTTTCATTATTCCATACGAGTACCCCAGAACGACGAGTCGTGACCCATACGGTAAAAATATCACGTCCCGCCGGTCCGGTCCCCATAGTATATAGAATTTATACAATTCAGCCCGCGTCATTACGGGGGTACAGTAATCTATGTGTCCGACATTAAACTCGATTTTTGCTAGGGTTTAGCGTCCCCGGTGTCCCGCGCGCGCATGCGTTGGCGCCGTCGACACTCGTCGACGCCCCGGCCCGCGGTCGTTCGCGTCCACACGGTTCAAGTAGTGCCCTTGGACGACGAACGTGCGCTTGTGCACCCTTGCGCGGATGAAGTGCGTTTCCATCGTGCGTCGCCGCCGTTCGGTCCTTTAAGGGCGACCGTAGCGCAACCGGGCGATCTCCGTGCGGACGGCGCGATGCCGGCGTACGCATCGCAAGGAGTGCACACCGGGGGCACTGCGCCATTCGCGACGTACCGTGCAGCACAACACGCGTTTGCAACGCCAGACGGCATGCATTGGCGCGGTGGACGCAGCGTTTCATTGAAAATTGCGCGCAGCACTAGTGGGCAAAGCGGCTCGTTGGCACCCCAACGGGTCTTAAACACAATACTTGTTTTGTTCGGATACTCGCCCAGGGATCTAGACACACGTGAGGGTAGTCGAAGGGCTAGCGTCCGGTGCCAAAAGAACATGCTCTTTGCTACGGCCACGTGGATGCTGCTATTGCTCACGTCGTTTGTCGATGGGGCAATAGTAGACCGCGACGCTTTGAAAGTTGCAGTGGACAACTGTTTGGCGGCAAATGCCACTGGTAACTGCGATTGTAGCAGTGACTCTGTGGACTGCGGTACCGCTGGAAGTCTTCCCATCTCGCAGTGGGATACGAGCCGCGTGAACGATATGAATAGACTATTCAGCAACCAGGGTTCATTTAACGCGAATATCTCCGCGTGGGACGTGAGCGGCGTGACGGACATGACTCGAATGTTCGAGGGCGCTAATAGTTTCGCTCAGGACATCAGCTCGTGGAACGTGGTGAACGTCACGAGCATGGACACTATGTTCTATCGCGCGGATGCGTTCAACGCGCCCATCGGCAGTTGGAACACAGACGGCGTGACAAACATGTTTCAGATGTTCCACTCAGCACATTTGTTCGATCAACCGATCGGAAGCTGGAACACGGAACGGGTGACGACCATGCAGTGTATGTTCATGTATGCGCGTGAATTCAATCAGGATATCAGCTCCTGGAACACGGCCAACGTGGTAAATATGTGGGATATGTTTTATAGTGCGGATGCGTTCAACCAGAACATTGGGTCATGGAACACAGAGGAGGTGACGGATATGAGGTACATGTTTTATAGTGCGGATGCGTTCAACCAGAACATTGGGTCATGGAACACAGAGAAGGTGACGGATCTGAGCGGAATGTTTCAGGGCGCAGCGGCGTTCAACCAGGACATTGGCTCATGGAACACAGAGGAGGTGACAGACATGAGCGGAATGTTTCAGGGCGCAGCGGCGTTCAACCAGGACATTGGTTCATGGACGACGACGTCGGTGAAGAACATGGAGAGCATGTTCGAGGATGCGACGGCGTTCAACCAGAACATTAGCTCCTGGAACGTCAGTGCCGTCACAGACTTCGATCGGATGTTCTACACAGCGACCGCCTTCAACAAAGGCATAATCACCACGAAAACGACATGGACTGGCGCCACCGGCGCGTCCGCGACAGACATGTTCTCCGCCGCCACGGCGTGGCTGCAGAGGTATGAGTACACGACGAATCCCAGCGGAAGCGTCGTGAATGGTCCCGCGTCGGCTTGGAGTGTGAAGAAGTGTTCGTCCAATCAGTACGTTTTGAGCAACACATGCAAGGCGTGTGCCTCTGGCAAATTTCGCAGTGCTGGTGACGACCCTGATGGCTCCAATACGGCGTGTACGTACGCGTCGCCGTTTGCTTCAAATACCCAGCTGAAAGACACGATCGAGTCTTCGTACTGCTTGGGAGGCAGCGACGCCACGGGCGCGAATTGCACGGACGGCAAGGGTATGTATATAGCGCAGTGGGATACGAGCTTGATCACGGATATGAATCACTTGTTCTACAACAAAATTTCATTCGACGCCAATATCAGCACGTGGAACACGGCGAAAGTGACAAAAATGGATAGCATGTTTTCTCAAGCACGTGCATTTAACCAGAGGATTAATGAATGGAATACATCGAGCGTGGTGACAATGGAAGCTATGTTCCGCTACGCCGAGTCCTTTGACCAGCCCATTGGTGAGTGGAATACCGGAAGAGTCACCAATATGAAAGACATGTTTTCGCAGGCGTCTGAATTCAATCAGAATATCGGTAATTGGGATACATCGAGTGTGACGACGATGGATACTATGTTTCGCTACACCGAGTCCTTTAACCAGCCCATTAGTGAGTGGAATACCGGAAGAGTCACCAATATGAAAGACATGTTTTCGCATGCGTACGCATTCAATCATTCAATCGGTGACTGGAACACGGGTGCCGTGGAGAATATGGAGCTTATGTTCCAAAATACCGGCGTTTTCAACCAGGACATCAGCAGTTGGAACACGGCGGCGGTGACTCAGATGGACTCAATGTTTTACGGTGCTTCAGCCTTCAATTATGACATCACTGGTTGGAGTTCAGCAAGCCTTACGTCGTCGACGGACATGTTTCTCTCCGCGACGGCTTGGCTGGCGAGGTACAAGAACACCGCCTCCCCAGGTAGCAAAAATGGGCCATCGTCGAACTGGCTCGGTCCCGGTCCGTTCACGACCAAGTCGGCGTTGGAGACCGCTACATGGAACTGCTTGGCGGGGAGCGCCGATGCCGATGGCAACTGCGACTGTACGACCGTCGATTGTGGCGCGGCGGTGTATGAATCGATTTCGAACTGGAACACGAGTTTGATCACGGACATGACCGGTTTGTTTGAAGGTAAGTCTTCATTCAACGCGAATATCGGCGGATGGAACACGGGGAGCGTCACAAACATGCACCAGATGTTTAACGGCGCGACTGCTTTCAACCAAGACATCGGTTCTTGGGATGTCTCGGATGTAGCGGACATGTATCAAATGTTCGGTAGCGCGTCCTCGTTCAATCAAAACATTGGGTCGTGGAACACAGGCAGTGTGACGGATATGAGCGGTATGTTCATGAATGCATCTGCGTTTAACCAGCCCGTTGGTGACTGGAACACAGGCAGCGTCGTGGATATGAGCGGCATGTTTGAGAGCGTGTCTGCGTTTAACCAGCCCATTGGTGAGTGGAATACCGGAAGAGTCACCAATATGAAAGAAATGTTTTCGCAGGCGTCTGAATTCAATCAGAATATCGGTAATTGGGATACATCGAGTGTGACGACGATGGATACTATGTTTCGCTACACCGAGTCCTTTAACCAGCCCATTAGTGAGTGGAATACCGGAAGAGTCACCAATATGAAAGACATGTTTTCGCATGCGTACGCATTCAATCATTCAATCGGTGACTGGAACACGGGTGCCGTGGAGAATATGGAGCTTATGTTCCAAAATACCGGCGTTTTCAACCAGGACATCAGCAGTTGGAACACGGCGGCGGTGACTCAGATGGACTCAATGTTTTACGGTGCTTCAGCCTTCAATTATGACATCACTGGTTGGAGTTCAGCAAGCCTTACGTCGTCGGCGAGCATGTTTCTCGACGCGCCGGCTTGGCTGGCGAGGTACAAGAACACCGTCGCCTCTGGTAGCAAAAATGGGCCATCGTCGAACTGGCTCGGTCCCGGTCCGTTCACGACCAAGTCGGCGTTGGAGACCGCTACATGGAACTGCTTGGCGGGGAGCGCCGATGCCGATGGCAACTGCGACTGTACGACCGTCGATTGTGGCGCGGCGGTGTATGAATCGATTTCGAACTGGAACACGAGTTTGATCACGGACATGACCGGTTTGTTTGAAGGTAAGTCTTCATTCAACGCGAATATCGGCGGATGGAACACGGGGAGCGTCACAAACATGCACCAGATGTTTAACGGCGCGACTGCTTTCAACCAAGACATCGGTTCTTGGGATGTCTCGGATGTAGCGGACATGTATCAAATGTTCGGTAGCGCGTCGTCGTTCAATCAAAACATTGGGTCGTGGAACACAGGCAGTGTGACGGATATGAGCGGTATGTTCATGAATGCATCTGCGTTTAACCAGCCCGTTGGTGACTGGAACACAGGCAGCGTCGTGGATATGAGCGGCATGTTTGAGAGCGTGTCTGCGTTTAACCAGCCCATTGGTGAGTGGAACACAGGTAGCGTGGCGGATATGAACGGTATGTTCAGGAGCGCATCCGCGTTTAACGAGCCCGTTGGTGCATGGAACACAGGCAGCGTGACGGATATGAGCGGCATGTTTGAGAGCGTGTCTGCGTTTAACCAGCCCATTGGTGAGTGGAACACAGGTAGCGTGGCGGATATGAACGGTATGTTCAGGAGCGCATCCGCGTTTAACCAGCCGATTGGTGAGTGGGCCACAGGAAGCGTGGCGGATATGAGCGGCATGTTTGAGAGTGCATCCGCGTTTAACCAGCCGATTGGTGAGTGGGACACAGACAGCGTGACGGATATGAGCAGCATGTTTGAGAGCGCGTCTGAATTCAATTATAACATCACTGATTGGAGTTCAGCTAGTCTCACGACGGACATGTTTCTCGATGCGACAGCTTGGCTGGGAAGATTTGCACGCAAAGATGGCGAAGACACCACTGATGGCCCACCATCCAAGTGGGGCGAACCGTGTGGCAATGAGTGGTACGATGCGACCTTTGAGGAGAAGTGTGAGCCAAGAGTGAACGGGATTGAAGTGAAAGGATGCAATTCTACGTGCGGGATAAAAGACAACTGGCGGTGCGACAATTTCGACTTGCTACGCCCCCCCGGTGATGACTTAGATAGCTACAATTGTACGTGCGACAACCCGGCGGGCACGTACGCATCGCCTGATCTTGATTGTGCTCGCACAGATTGCATTTACGGCGAGCGGTGTCTCGCTAACGGCCTAGGCTGTGCGCCCGGTGCCGGTGGAAACGCATGCGACCGGTGTTTGACGGCCGCTGATATTGCCGAGCTTCCACTCAACGAACGAAGTCTCAGCAAGAATGGCTATTACAAGACTGGGCAGATGTGCACGGCTTGTCCAGAGACATCGGCTGGTCAACTTTTCGCTGCGGCTGCGGTTGTCGTCGTCCTCGCTTTTTGTGGTTTCAAAGCCTCTCAATTGATGGGCGCTCAAGCGACGAACAATTTGAAGAAAATTGTCGAGTCGCTGCAGTTCTTCTCTCTTTCGCTCAGTATGAGTATCAAGTGGCCTGGACCCGTACTCAATCTCGGTAAATATTTGGAAGCTTTCACGTTCAGTATTGAGTTTCTACGACCCGAATGCGTCGCTACGGGGCTGAATTGGCTCAATATATTTTTGTCCTCAGTGTTTTTCGTTCCCGCTCTCATCTTCATAATCATCGTCGTGAACAATAGACGGGCGAAGCACCGTTACAAAACAACGGTGCGCGCGATCGACAGTGAACGACACGAGGATGGCGAAACAGTCTACTGGATCAAGAAACCAGGTTTCTTGTGGGGTACGCGGAGAGCTTACGAGTCCAAGGGTGGAGATAAGATTGTTCGCGAGTTGCAGCGCCAGTATCGGTTTCGAGCCGCGCTTCGATCTTTCGGCGTACTGTCGCTGACCGTCCTATACCTTCCCATCGTGCGTATGTGCCTTCAGTCATACGATTGCATAAAGATAGACGGCGTGGATGGGCTTCGATTGGAGCATGACATAGATATCCTCTGTGAAAGCGAAGGGCACGTGATCATCCAGGCCGCCGCCGCGGTGATGTTGGCCATTGTCGGTATCGGCATGCCAATTTACGTCATAATGCAAGTTCGTAAGATCCGTTTGAGCGGTAAACTGGATGATCCACAGACTATCGACTCGTATGGTCCGTTCTACGACGTCTACCGGCGCGAGGAGCTCACACACGATCACAAATTGGAGATTGCGAGCATTCGACAAACCGCGGTCGAGTCGTCCTCATTTCGACGAGGCGAAGGCACGAGCGACGAACGTCCTTTCGATGCAGCAACTGATGATATTGCAGAAGAAATCGCAAATGAAGCCAGGGTCGATACGGAAGAAGATTCAAGCGACGTTGATCGTGTTGACGTCGAGGACGATAGTGATACTCCACCACCTCAGAAAGTTGCATCCGGTCTCGGTAAGCTCGCTCGGGCGTTAACGATGACGAAGTCTGCTTTAGGCCGGACGACGTCAGCGAAAGCGCGCGAACGGGCACATCGAATGCACTGGAAGGACAGGTTCGCGCTTCACTACCTGGCCGTTGAACTAGTGCAGAAGAGTTGCGTCATTTTGACGACGTCTCCGCTAGTGGCCGAAACCGCGGTGAGCGGTTGGGCTCTGGTTGTCGTACACTGGTTTACCGGCGCCTTCGTCTACGTGTGTCAGCCTTGGCGCATCATGACGCTCGGCTTCGGCAAATACAAGGTGCGAAATTGCTTAAACAAAGTCGAGTCCTTGGCTGGATTTTTGCAGGGCGTGGGACCGTTCTTGGCGATGATCTTCCCTGTTCAGAGAAACGAGTTGGGCGAGGTGAAGCAAACTGTGACACTCTCAGCCATAACTGTCCTGCTGACCATCATAATCACCGGGCTGCTTTCTATTCGTATCATTGTTTTCGTCGGCGAACGCGTCGCCGTCAAACGAAAGAAGATGGACATTGACAAGGATCCCGAGAAATGCATGCAAAATGTTCACAAACAACTGGTCAAGCTCGCAACCAACAGAGCGATTGTGAGCATGTTGCTTTCAAGGCAGATTTCGACATAAAGCGCCGTAAAGCACGCGCGAGGCTGGAAGATACCCGCCAAGCGATGTTATCGCGCATCGATATCTTGAAGTCACAACAGACCGACGAGGACCATTCCGATAAAATTACCGCGTTGTACGAAGTGGCGAATGAAATGGCACACATCGTGAATACGATCGTACCCCAAGCACCCCCAACCGGTCCCAACGCAGAAGGGTCTATCGAATTGCTGGATGAACAACTGGCATCAATTCTCAAGGACGTCGACGTCCGAGCGCGGGCGAACGCGTTAGATGCCCCAAATTCTGCGGCAGTACATATCGTGATGAAAGTCCACGCGTTCGATACAATCATATGTCGACTTGACGAACATTTGCTCGAATTCGCGGCGGCAGAACTTGTGAGTGAGCTTGCCGAGCTGGGTCGAAGACACGCTGAATTACGACATACGCGAAGTTGTGTCGCGATAGGTTTCGGTGACGCAGAGCTTCGAGCTACTTTCGATGCGCTACGATCGTCTATCGAGACACTTCGCCATGCCGTTGAGAACGACGACTTCGAAGCTGTATTCACCACTTTGAATGGTGGGAAGGAGATCATTGATTCTCACTTACGATGGTGTCGGGATCAATGTGAATTGTTCAAGAGCGCCGAGGACGAGCACCCCGATTTCCTCGAGGACGAGCCTCCACTGACGACCAAGTTTTTCAAGGCGACAGTCAAGGTGATACAATCCCATGAAAAGCAACTGTCTAAATTCAAATCGGAGTGTATTCGTAACTGGCCCCCGCTTTTCAAGAACTTTGGCCGCGTCAAGTACATACAAGGCTTTGCTGAGCAACTTCAGAATCAACTCCATCTCGATCTCAATGAAAGCACGCCGGAGGAGGCCAAGGCTGTTTTCGATCAGGTGTTGGCCTTCACAGATGGCTTCGCGGTTTGGTGCGGCGATTTAGTGGCACAGGTCGAAGGCTCAGATGTCTTCATCTTGTTTGAGCCAATCGCCCGCGCGATGATGGAAAGCTTGAAAGCCATCAGAACAGACGCTGAGTCGCAAAGTGCACTCGCGAGGCAAGCATTGAGTATGATAGATTATGCGGTGACGCAACGGGCGTTGGCCGCAACGACGCGATCGGGCTTGCAGACAGCACTCGCAGATGGTACGTCTGCGCTTGAAGACCAGCTCGCCGCAGAAATTGCACACATGGACGCTGCGAAGATTTCTCGAGAGACTACTTTCGAGACCGACAAGATGCGCATCGAGGAAGCTTTGACTACATCAGAGCAAGAGTCGGACGGTAGGCGAGCGGTTTTAGAGGATGACATTCGATCGCAACAGGACACTATCGCGCGGCTACAAAACTTGAAACGGGAAGAGGCCGCGGCATCGAGCTCTATAAACCCGTTGAAATGGGAGCGTTTCAGTCGAAGCACTGAGCTCGCCGAAGCTGTAAGTGCACTCCGTATGAGCAAACAAAACTTGAAGAATGAAGAGCTTGCAAATGAGAAGGCCCGCGGGGATGCCCGTAAGGCTGTTCATTCGTTGGAACGGGGCCTGAAAAAGGACCTGGTCGAATGTGACGTCCGAGCAAAAAAAATCCGAGACGATGTGGCAAAGGAGCTGAAGAAACAAACTCTGGATGCTCAGAGGAAGACACCCGAAGACGCTAAAGCCCATAAGGCTAGTCTGGCTTCCAGGCGCGCGGTGTTCCAGCAACAACGCGCCGCCGCCAAACTCATCGCGAGCGAAAGTAGAGAAGCTACGCGAATCCAAGCACAGCTTGCATACTACATGCGAAATTTAAAGGCGCGCGAATCGTGATATAGCGGTCGTCTACGAGGAATACACGCATAGTCTAAACATGACCATCCTGTTGGAGAAGGAGCTGAGTTTCCGCTTCGTTACGGATGAGATTGTCGCGAGGAGATGAGCCTTCAAATTCGGGGCGATGGCTCACAAATCAGGCAAGGGAAGACAGGTGCACGTGCAAACTCTCAGCGGAAAGAGTTCATCGTCTCGAAGATCTCGGTGTTTGGTGAGACAAACTCGACACACAGCAGGAGCACTTCACTGCCTGAGTGTACAGAAGATGTAACTAGCCTGAAGCGTTCGACCGTTGAGACCTCAAGTTTTGGTGCCCTCGCTTAAGATTTCTTCAGAATAGAATCTCTGAAAGCAAGGGATGCTCAAAGCAGCAAAAATGACTTCCTACTACGGGCCACACAGGACGCCGAGCCCGATTTCTCTGTGCGTTCCGACCCCCCTTAACAGCGGACCCTTGGGTCTTAAGAAATTTCAACCTTTAAGGTTATAGGTTATATAGGTTATAGGTTTATTTATAAAGTTTACATGTGACGTTTTTTTTCAAAAATGGAAAAAAAAGTGACGGAGAGAAAGTTCCTCACAGGACCTCCAACCACTAAACCCATAACCGGTCACTCTTCCTCGCCCCGTTCTTTGATACACGTTCGCCCCACGACGGTTCGACCTGAAATTTTTTTCGGTTTGGCTTCGAACCCGAGCTTGGTCAGCGCGCGTCCGATGAGCATCTTGCTCACGGTGCAGCCGTTAAAAATATCAACTTTTTTGTTTCAGTTGGGGCACCCCAACATGATAAAACGCTCATCGACGTTGATGTACCGCATGTACGATTTCTTCAGAACCAATCGTTCGAGTGAAGTGGTCAAACCAAGCCACGCAACTCATCTACCGTAAATTGATACTTGTCGAGACTGCGCTTCGAAGGCAGCGTGCCGCGCGCTCGAGCATTCTTGAGACACGTCTTACGCAGTATTCTTTTCGCGTGCTGCTTGTAATAATTGAGTTGTCTGTAGTTACCATCGCCGCCGTCCCGCTTCGGCGTATATTGAGCTCTGCTGTAGGCCAGACTCTCGTCCACGTTCTCGTGGCACGCGTGTTTCCGACTGCGTCCAGGAACTCGGGAGTTGAATACGCCGTCGCGCTTCTCTCTCATGTATGCACTTTTACGTTGACGGAGCTCTCCAGCTGGAATGTCCTTTTCGAGAACTCTCACGTCCGCGTCGCCAAACGTGAAGATTGGATGCCGTGCGTATTTATGCGAGGCAAGGCGCGCTCTGAGCGAACCTGTCGTCGATCCGATGTACGTTTTGTCACATTTCGCATTATCGCTAAACATTTCGTACACGCATCCCGACGGCATTTGTCCTGGTTACCTGTCTATCCCTAAGAAAATATTGTTGTCAAAAGTCCTCCTGCTGCGGTTTGCAGTCGCATTCGAGAGACCGTATCGCTGCGTGGGCTGCAAGGTCTGGGATGTAGATATCGAACCGCCCGATTTCACACCTGGACGTTCGTGATCCGTCGAGACCTGACGAAATGACGAACTTGTTTTGTCGTCCCGAAATTCGTCAGCCCGTCGTTCGGTCACACTTTGTGTGTACCAATGATGAAAATGACGAAATGTTAAAATATTTTAATGTTTATTTTTATTTTAGATCTACGACAAGCAACAGTGTAGACCTTTATGAAAACAGTTCGTCATTCGTCATTTCGTCAGGATCCAAACCATGGTCTTTTCGGTGTCTTGTTGAGTCTTCATATTGCAAATGTACGAATCACAAAATTAGTATGAACACCAGACGACCGCCGGCGCGAGCTCCGTCTCCCCCGTGTACCCATTGTTCTTCAGCCACTCGAAGCACCCGTCGCGGTCAATTTCCCAATAGACGCCATTCTCGTCCCTACCTTGCCTCAGGTGGTCCTCGCGCATTGGGATCCTGTGGCCCTTTTCCTTCTTGAAGAAGTCCTTGAGCTTATTGCCGACCCTGGTCGCGCTATCTTGACCGCGCGTAGCCGCTGGCAACCACGTCTGGTATTCGATGAAGATGTCACTGTTGCGGATTTTATTTCCAACCCACTTCTCAGGGAATTCAACAGTGACGCAATGCTCAAACCATCGAGTGAACTTGGGCATGCAGCCACGCTTCATTTCCGAATACGCGTCGGTCGTAGGTCTGTCTTTCACGTAGTCAAAAGTCGATAGGTCGAGCCCCATGAGGTGGTCGTAGATCGCCCTCAAGTTCCTCAGATCCTTGATGTACACGTCGCGGAATTCCTTCAAGAATCCAGTCTGGTCGTTCAAGTGCGTGAGCAGTGGCTCCATAACGACGAACCGACGATCACTCATTTCCAGAAAAACGGGGTAGTCGTCGTTCGAGAAAAATAGGAACCCAACCAGATTCATGATGACGTACAGCTGCACGTGCTTCGGGTTGATTGTGAAACTCGTGTCCGTGAGCATCGATTTCAGCAACTTTCTATACATTTTCATGATGCACTCATCTGCTTCGTTCAACGCGAGACACTTTTTGCCTTCAATCATGTTCGCATGCGTCCCAAATATGTCCTTTTTCGGATCAGCCGTCTCATGAAACGTCTTGCCCATGAGCGCATGAAGCAGGTGCAGGAAAGTGCCCTTGCCGGTACCTTGGACTCCTCGAAACACGAGCGACGTGATCGGCTTCTCTTCGGGTCTCTGGAAGAGACACGCGAACCAATTCAAAGCGTACTCGAGCGCATTTTCTGAACCGCCACATAGCACCAGGAGGAGCTCGAGGAAAGGCTTTACGTCGCCCTCTTTGCCCAGTTCACTGGGGATGCCTTCGACCGGATAGCCTCGCCACAGATTGTACGTCTTGTTGCTGCAGTTTTTCGGGACGACATCGAGGGTATCGTACACCCGTTTATTGTCGTCGTCGAGCCACTTTTCGATGAACCCGTTCTTCTTGCCTTTCCTCAAGACACCGTTCTCATCGACAAAGGAGAGTTCTCGATAGCGCCTCACCAAAGCGGCCTCGCTGAACTTGGTAATGTCCCCGGTGGTTCCATAACAGCTATCGTCGCAGAAGAGGTCCTTGGTTAAGATCTTTGCGACGTGCTTCTCGAACTCACGGCGGACCTCGATGTAGCCCGCAGACGTGCCCTCTTTGATTTCGTTCTGCTCCTTTTCGGTGATACCGGTCACCAAACACCCAACCTCAAAGCGAAACTGTCTGGGCTTGCAGTTGCCATGGTTTTTCACGGTGAGCACGCCGAGACCGACCTCGGCGACGTAAAAGTGATTCCCACCGCCCCTTCCATTGCCTTCGTGGAAGCCCCCACAGCAAGGACATTGGCCCACAGTGGTGCCTCGCTGTGGGCGACATTGGTCGCATTCAAAATCATACGATGTCGCTCCACTGAGCCAATGTATGCCCGTGAACCCCATTTCCTCGAGCAAAGGTGTCACAGATGCTTGCGTAAAGCTGCACTCCGTGTCCGCGCGTTCGACCTTGTGACCGACTTTGCCATCAAGGAAACTGTACAAATCGTTGGGCATCGGTGGTAAATTGTTGATGTCGCCTCGGAGTAGCTCGTAGCCCGGGGCATCGGCACCGACCACGTAGTTACCCGTCGTACGGATATCGACGAACCCTTCGATGCCCACCGTGCCTTTCCAATCGCCGAATCGTTCTTCGTCCCATGCGAAGTACGTGTGGTACCCGCCTGATCGCGTTTTGACGATGTACGCGCCTTCCCCGCCAACCTTGCGCGTCAACATTTCTTCCGTCAGTTCAAACTCGCACTTGCCACCGTAACAATCCCAGTCGATGACGAGGACACGGTTCGGTCGCCCTGTCAGCACGCCGTACATTTCTCCTGGGATGACTTTCTGCGTATTCTGTTCATAGTTTGCTTCATCGAGGAACCCTCTGCCGCATGTTGGCTCCTTGTTCTGGTCGAGTGGGATCAGATGCATGCCGTTCGTAAATTCTCTGGCGTCCATATATATCACATAAGAAAAGAATTCTTTAAGCCGTGTTTTTCCTGGTCACATCGGCGCGATGACTGATTTTCAAGTTTTTCAACAGCCTGGAAAAGCACGCCAGCGCGCCCCACTGGTCAACGTTTTGCCACTTTTTCGACGAGATCGGGGTACTGCAAAGCACACGGCGAAGACCCGAGAGATCAGCAGATCGACGAACTCCGCAGTGAGCTCAGTGACATCGTGTCAAGACTGGAGGCGGTGGAGAGCGCCTAATCATCGTTTTTCTATATCGCGCCATTCGTGGACAACAAAATATACGTCCACATATATTAACTCCCCGTGCTTGCCTCGTCCAAATTGGCATCGCCCATGCGCCGTCGAAGCGAAGACGTGTCATCTCCCGAACCACTGAGCGCCTTTAGCGCGCCCTCTACGCCACGAAGCGCGCTGTAAAGAAGGTCTTGGGCGCCAACTTTGTTGTACCAATCTTGGAAGCTTTTGCACGCACAAAATTGCTTCTCAGGTCCCCATTCAGGCTGCCACTTTGGTACGTTACACTGACCATAACCATCATAGTTAACGTATCCATCAACGCTGAGGTTACTGCCATCGCAGCCAATGACACCCACAGGATGAACAATGAAGCTACTTGAGCCACTTCGGTGGCCAACATACTGGGGTGGACATGACCCATAATTCCCACGATAATTCCACAGTGTGAGCCTCTGTTGTTCCATTTTCGCCTCGTAGCTGCGCAACGCATCGCTCAACTCCTCGAGGTTGCGTTCCAAAGATACACTAGTCCTTTTTCTTTTGTGTTGCTGGAGTTGTTCAGAGGCGTGTTCTTTTATGTCGGCAATTTTATCGGGCAAGCCTTTCAAATCTGCGATAACCGCATCCACATCGGCGCACATCGCGTTCAATGAATTGTCTTTCTCTTTTAATTTCGCACGAGTGTCCTCGATGTGCTGCGGGATAACCGACCGTCGCGTTTCGGAGATATTCTCGTCTTGTAGCTGCGCTTCCAGAACTCGGATATCTTTATCGATGCGCTCTACGGTGCGAAGATAACTCGCCCGTAAGAGGCGCTTGAACTCCTCGAGGCCGTCGGGCGTCGGTTTGTCATACTCGTCTCGTGATCTGGCGAATTTCTCGTAGCATGGGTCCTTGAAGAATGGCTTGTTCTTGTACGAGCGCTCGAGATCATCCTCCGCTGTTTTGACCGCCTCTGACTCCGCCGTGCCGTTCATCCAGTCCGGTTGCAGCGACGGGTCTAATGAGTTCGTTCTCCATGTCGGTGAGGCGTGCGCGACTGAATCGGTCATCGCGTGCGTCGATGAGTGGCGCCGACACCGCGATCTGCCCGCATCCTCGGAAAACCGGAGGCCGCTAAACCCTAGCAAAAATCGAGTTTTAGAAATTGTCGATTTTTAACACGTTTACAGTGGAACCTCTGCGGTTTTTGACGCCTAAACCCTAATTTCTAAACCCTAATGTGTAAATACGAGTACGACGTTTCATTAACCCATACGAGTACCCCCGAACGACGAGTCGTGACTCATACGGTAAAAATATCACGTCCCGCCGGTCCGGTCCCCATATACTATGGAATTTATGCTATTCAGCCCGCGCAAACAGTCGGGTAGATTACTGTACAGTAATCTACCCGTATCTTACTGTACAGTAATCTGTGCGCGGAATCAGTAATCTGTACCCGGAATGACGCGGGATGTGGCGTAATCTATACCCGACATCCCGTGTTCTGTACACTGTGGGGCTTCAGGCCGCCGAGTATGATTAAGCCTATTTTGCATCACAATTGTCGGTCTACTCTTAACATTTGGCGGACTCGCGTTACATGCTATTCTGATCGAGTGGAATTTTCCATAGTTATTGTCCGTATGTTGAACGGCCCTCTCTTAAGATTGGGTGCGCATCTGAAGCGAGGCTTCCAGGATCTGAACAGTCGTGTACAGGTGGTTCGGTTAACGGCGTCTTCTGTACCCTCAGGTGGCGAACTTCATCTCCAAGATATCAGGTTTTTGTGCCAAAACACACTCACTTCTTCGACTCAACGGCTTGATTCCAAGGTCGAGCCGTAATCATACGCTCGCGAGCCTACGAACACCGCATCGCACTCGTTTATTGGCGCGCGTCGCGACTTACGACGTACAATCGCCACAAACGCAACAAAGGTAAACATCGCAAGGTACAGAGTTAATGTGAAGGGTCGAGGCGCCCCCAATCTGGCTCTCGACTGTTGCACGGCGTTACATTCGCACAGTTCCAATGCCTTGCTTCGTTGCTCGGCATTTTTCCAGTTACGCGTGAAGCTGACATTAAAGTTTGCGACTCCACGAAACATTTCGTCGACGTTCGCGTCAGCGCTCAATACCCACGAATTCAGATCTTGATTGAAACTTTTGGCGAAAGCAAACATCCGATGAAAGCTCTTGACGTTGGAGACGTTCCAATCGCTTAGGTTTTGATTGAAATTTCGATTGTACGCGAACATTTCTGACATGTCCGTAGCAGACGCCGTGTTCCACGCACTGATGATGGTCGCCGCCGTCGATCCAACGCCATTCAGACTATCGTAATGTGTTTGAAATAGACTTCTGAAATTCCTCACCTCACTTGTATCCACCATGTTTAGAGGCCCAAATCTACAACAGTAGCTGTACTTCGAGAAATTCGACCCCATGCAGTTACTCCGAGCTGACTCTTGGCTTCGGCAGGAGCGTATCACTTGGTATAAACTCGAACGATCGCCACGAAGTGGTGATAAACCTTGCGCCGTACCAGAATACGCAAAGAGATCTATAAACTGTTGATGATCGCTTCGGTGAGTATTGACTTGTTTTTCCTTGATATTTTCGGCAAATGACGGCGAACGATAGCTTGGATTCAGAAAGTAGGTGGAATGGAACATCCCGTAAGCGGTCGTAACCGAGGAAACATCCCACGTCCACTTTCGCAAATCGCGCGAGAATGCGCGCGCGCCATTGAACATGTATTGCATGTTCTGAACTTTTTTCACGTTCCATGACGACAAATCCTGATCAAAACTTGTCGCATATTGAAACATTTTCACCATCGTCCCGACTTGCGCGACATTCCAAGATCCGATTGACGCGTTGAAGTCTCTCCGATTTTGGAAAAGTTCATTCATGTTCGTTACCCTACTGACATCCCACGTCTCCATGGTCCCAAACTGTAAGTCTCGACACATACCTCCGACGGGATCGACTTCCAAACATTTATCTATGATATCATCGATGTTGTCGTTATCGATGTGCTCCATAACTTTGGTTTCAGCGATTTTCGGTTTCCAATTGCACGGGGGGCCATGTCTCATGTTCGACTTGCTGATTGAGACGAGTTTGAAATCGAACGAGCTCCGTCTGCCTCTTGCATAGTGACTGAACCATTTGGTAACGCGAACTTCGTCCTTCAATGCGTACTTCACCTTCCACGCGGCGGCGTTCAGGAACATGTCACCCACGATTGGCTGCAGAACGGTCGATTGCGACGTTGCGTGCTGGGCGAGACAAACGTACTCGCCTCGAACGGCAGCTTCGCCGCGGCCCCAATTTGTAATGTCGGCATCAAACATCCAAGCGTCGTCAAACATTTTATAAAAGTCTGTGACTGATCTCACGTTCCAATCCCCCAAGTCTCCGTTAAATTTATAGGCGTTGGAAAACATCTGGTTCATGTCTTCAACCTGGGCGACGTTCCAAAGTTTCAAAGAGCCCCGGAATCGACGCGCGCCGTAGAACATGCGGAACATACTCGTGACTGAAGCAACGTTCCAGTTTTCGATATTGCCATTGAAGTCGCGTGCGCCCGAGAAGGCTTCAGACATATCGAACACACCTGAAGTATTCCAGGTTGACATCGCGCCATACTTGGAGTCGACGCAAGCGCCATCAGTGGGATGTGTCTCCAAACATTTGCCGACGGCGTACAAGAAATTACCTTGATGTACTTCGGCGAAGGTTGATGAATTCGTTGAGTTCTTGCTCGTTGTAGGCACGGTGCACTTAGCTGGCGAAGCACGATTTGGTTTCTTCGCCAACCCAACACAGTCGACATCACCATATATGGCGTGGCGACCATATTTCCCGTCTTTGTCGCGCCCCCACTTGTAGCCAATTTTCGTATTGTATTCCAGGCAAGTGCGCGGCTTGCAGGTCCACTTCGACACGGGACCAGAGAGAGACCACGTTCTTCTACGTTCGTGGCCTTCGCGCGTGCATGCCTCAAGCCAGGCCGTCGCAAGACCAAACATATTGGCACTCCCCAACCTGTCCAGACTCGCGGAATCCCACTTGGAGATATCTTGCGCAAACTTCGACGCGCCGTAAAACATCCCCTCCATATTGTACACGTTGCGTACGTCCCAATTGCCAATGTCTTGATTGAAACTCGAAGCGCCTTGAAACATGCGCAACATAAATGTTACGGAACTCACATCCCAAGCAGATATATCGCCATCGAACTGGTCTCTGCCCTTAAATGCCTCGCGCATGTCGGTGACTCGGCTTACGTCCCAGCCAGACATACATCCGTGTCTAAATCCAGAGCAGTCTCCGTACTTTGGGTCTTCACTCAAGCATTCTTCAATCGCATCATAGAAGACAGCATTTTCAATGTTTACGTGCTTTCGTTTCCAAACAATCGGTGGTCCATCACTTTTCCCTCCGACGGCGAGAGGATCGCGATAAAACTCCATTTGAAACTCCGTGATGCCGTCGAACATCTTCGTCGAAACTTCCAACGAAGCCGTCGACCAAGAAGTGACATCAGGAAAGTCTGGGACCACTACTCTGGAAAACATCTCGCGCATGTTTTTCACTTTTCGCACATTCCAGTGCGATATCTCTGATGGGATCTTTCCAAAGCGAACGCCCTTGAACATCATTTCCATACTTGTAGCCGAACTCGTGTCCCATGAAGCAAATCCTGAAGGCAAGCGGGTAGTGCGATATCGCGATGAAAACATGCTCCTAAAGTTCGTTATACCAATGGTGCGCATGTTGGATACATCGCAGGTCGTCGACACGGGTGAATTCAAACCAGAAAACATGGAATCAGCATCGACGTTTGATCCGAAACTCCATGAGATGTTGACATCCGTGCACTCAGAACCCTTCATCATTGCCTTGATATCATTGGCAGAGTCTAGTTTCCACGCGCTCGCTTGACGAAGAATGGGTGGTTTTGAGAAAGCAAACGCGGATTGCATCTTCTGAACTCGTTTAGGATCCCATTTGCCAAGACCGTCGATGGCGTCGTGACCAATCCGAGCAAATGCAAGCTCCATGCTCTTCACATTCCTCACGTCCCAAGAACCAATATCGCCGATGCGTCCTTGATTTGTCATTTTGAAGAATATTCCGTCCATGTTGGTGACCGAGGAGACATCCCAATGTTTGAACATATTGTGCCAATCACGCCCCAGACCACTGAAGGTGAACCGCATGCTCCGCACGCTACTTACATTCCACGCACCCAAGTTACCAAAAGTCGCTCCCGGTAGAATGACCACAGTGCGTGGAACATCTAATCTGAAACGCGTTTCGGAATGCGAAGATGCCTTCCATTCTCCCGTATCATTGAAATACCGTTCTCCATATCTGAAAATGTGGTAATTATAGCGCTGCATGAACATTGCATCCATGTTCACGACTGAACTCGTGTTCCACTGTGACAAGTCGCCCACGTCGCCTTCAAAATCCTCAAACATCGCACCCATGTCCGTCACGGAGCTCACGTCCCATCTCGACAGGTCACGTGAAAAGTTGGGCGCGTCCTTGTATGCAGCACCAAACTCTCCAGGGCTTGCTTGAAAGAATTTCCATCGCAAACATACGTAGCCGAACGTTCGGTAATGTCCCGGAAACGCGGCTTGGTCAAACTGAAAGTGGTTAACAGTACCAATTTTGAACGCGTACGACATGTCGGTTACTCGCGAGACATCCCATTCTGACATCGGCCCGTATCTCAATTCGCATGTCGTTAAATTCTTTCTGCATGCGATGATCGCGGTATAGAAATCATCATCTGTACGAGTCAAGTTGAGTGGTTTGGATACCAGAGCGCTCAAAAGTCGGCGTCCAAGTGGAAGCCGAACAGGATCGTCGATACTTTTACCCAAACGTGCGCTGACGCTCATCGCCGGCGACTTGGCGGAGGTGAGCTCCTCTTCGAGCCTTCGCAGCTTGGCCCGCAAACCTACAAGCCCTCGGTTCCTCGGATTGCGAGCCTCGATCCGCGCAATTTTTGTGCGGAGCTTTGTCATTTCCGGCGTCGGGCTCGGTGGCGGCGGGCTCGGACTTGTCGACGGCGTGTCGCCGAAGAGCTCCTCTTCGAGCCTTCGCAGCTTGGCCCGCAAACCTACAAGCCCTCGGTTCCTCGGATTGCGAGCCTCGATCCGCGCAATTTTTGTGCGAAGCTTTGTCATTTCCGGCGTCGGGCTCGGTGGCGGCGGGCTCGGACTTGTCGACGGCGTGTCGCCGAAGAGCTCCTCTTCGAGCCTTCGCAGCTTGGCCCGCAAACCTACAAGCCCTCGGTTCCTCGGATTGCGAGCCTCGATCCGCGCAATTTTTGTGCGGAGGTTTGTCATTTCCGGCGTCGGGCTCGGTGGCGGCGGGCTCGGACTTGGTGTAGTCGTCAGATAATCGATCGATGAGCTCGGCGATTGACTCGGACTCGGCGAGCTCTTCTCTTCGTCAGCGTCCTCCTCTTCGTCAGCATGTTCGACTTCGTCTTTGTCTGCCTCTTCGTCCTCCTCTTCGTCTGCATTGTAAGGCGATGGACTCGGACTCGGCGAGCTCTTCTCTTCGTCAGCGTCCTCCTCTTCGTCAGCATGTTCGACTTCGTCTTTGTCTGCCTCTTCGTCCTCCTCTTCGTCTGCATTGTAAGGCGATGGACTCGGACTCGGCGAGCTCTTCTCTTCGTCAGCGTCCTCCTCTTCGTCAGCATCTTCGACTTCGTCTTTGTCTGCCTCTTCGTCCTCCTCTTCATCTGCATTGTAAGGCGATGGACTCGGACTCGGCGAGCTCTTCTCTTCGTCAGCGTCCTCCTCTTCGTCAGCATGTTCGACTTCGTCTTTGTCTGCCTCTTCGTCCTCCTCTTCGTCAGCATTGTAAGGCGATGGACTCGGACTCGGCGAGCTCTTCTCTTCGTCAGCGTCCTCCTCTTCGTCAGCATGTTCGACTTCGTCTTTGTCTACCTCTTCGTCCTCCTCTTCGTCAGCATTGTAAGGCGATGGACTCGGACTCGGCGCACTTGCTTGTGCGTCGATACCTGTATATTCTGGTTCATCGGATGGCGTGTAGTTCTGAAATGGTTCATACGAATCTGTGGTTGTATTCGTTTTACTCGACGCAGCACGATGACCGATGGTATCCGCGTCGACCTCAAAACTAAAATTGCCATTAAGACGGAAACTGGACTCCTTAGAGTCAAGAATTGCTTGGTCGTCGTCACTCACGGATACTTTATCGAGAATTTTGAGCGAATGTATCGTTGGTAGCGGAGCACCTAGTACACTGCGGCGTACGTCATGAAGACGATCGCGAGTGGACAGCAAACGACGGTGACTTGGGCTCGTGGCAGTACACATCTTGAACAGTTTCTCGTCGTGCAATGACGAATATAGTACCTTTTTGCTTCGGGCGAGCACATCAAAGCTTGAAGTAAGTAGCGCGTCTAAATGACTCGGTATACCAACGCCCCTCACGGACGTTAACAATTCAAACGAAGAAGCTCGTGGCGGTAAACTTTTCAGCTTTTCACGCCTCGCCCACGGGAGAGGCTTGGCAAGGTCTACCATTTCTTCCTCACCGTCTTCATTTTCGCATTTCCCATCGTCGTCGTAGACGCACATTTGACAGGTTGTCTCGTTGATGCTTGCTACATACTTGAGCGGTAGTTCGGGCAGTACAATATTCTGTAAAAAGCCAGTCACGTTTCCCACGATACTCAAACCCTGCTCTGAATCGGGATATTTCCCCCAGAAATTGAGCACCGGTTTGACGTGAAGATCCAGAAGGGTCCCGAATCGACTCTTCACATCACGCGCACCGTGGAAATTACTCTTTGATCGGTTCACCATGGCGTACAAAGGCCGAAGCGCATCTGTTGGCTCGACAAGTCGAGTTTCACATTCACCCCATGCCGCGCGAATCAAATCTTCGTACACATACGTCACATCCGATGTGTTGAACCATTGGCGTTTGCAATTATGATTCAGCGTGTGCAGCATCCATTTTCGCGCTTCGATATCGCAGAACGGCCGAGTAACTTGAATGACATCCTCCATGAGAATTTTGTGTATCTCTGGGTCCTCTTTGCATTTTAATGTCATAGATACTGAGCGTATCATCTTGTAGAATGTGCTCGGGTAATACATCGCGTGTGGGCGAAATACGGCGTACACACGCTTGATGAGGGTTTGATTCGTGATTGACGCCACGTCGATGTGGTTAATGAGCGTCTCCCAAGCCTCGATGTTGTGTGGATTCGATTCTAACGCTGAGAGTAAAATCGCACCGACGCGATCGACAACTTGAGCGCCAGCATCCATGTACACGTTCTGGAACAAAAGCATCGCCAAGCGCGTCTCAACGTACGAATCCAACCCTTTGCTTACCGCTCTTGAAAGTGCACGGACATGGTCGACGGAAACGATGGCATTCTTCTTCACACCTGGCGCGTTACGATGTTCCAAAATACTCAACGTCGTTCTCGCAAACGTCGAGTTGGTGGGCCAATGCAGTGGTACCGTACGCCACAAGCGCGAGAGTTCATCAAATTTAAAGCTAATACCTCCAGGAATGGCTCCCCTCTTTTTGGAAACTTTCGTCGGGATCCCGAGACATGTTTGCATACCGATGGACAGATAAGCGATCATCGCGGCGTCACCGCCGTCTTGAGCGATCCGTGGAAGAGAATTCGGGTGCCAGTTTGACGCCTTGCATAGAGTTTCCGCGCGTTCGGTGACGTTTGCGTGATTCAACCTCAACCAAGTTGTATTGAGATTCCTTCTGCTGGCAATGTGCATGCATTCACTCGTTGGAAAGTGCGCACCAGCGTGCATGGCTACGACTGGCCACGGAATTCGACCAAAATTCATCGCTCCGTTGACGTTTGCATTCAACGTGCTGTGCATGTAGTGAATTGCCTGGAGCGGACTCGGATTCAATTCTCGACTTCCTGGCATGGCCAATGTCCCATTTATGAGCTTCTTCCTGATTTCACAGACATCGCCGACTTCTTCATCCCGAGACTGATCCAAAAGCGTTGAAGTAGAGTCTGCGATGAAATTCATATGACGATAATTGAAAGCTGTCGCAAGGATAGCATCGGATATGTTCGCGGCATCACCTCTAAAATAATTTGCCAAATATCGCACGTGATCCAACGCTTTCATGTGCGTCGGCATCGTTAGACTATAAAGTGCTTTTC